TCTACCACAGAAGTATTTGACAGTGCTACTTTTTAAGGTGCTACTTTACTTTACTCTGATGATGCTTTTTTTCTATGTGCCTGCATGTTTTCTTCCAGGGAGAGTCTATGAAATTGATTGCCTAGCACCAATGGGGCTGCATCAGAATGGGTTGGTTTGGACAGGGTTTTGTACTAGGTTTGTGTTTTTTTCTATGAGTGACATGTTTCCATCTGTCTTCTTCTTCTAAGGGATCAATTCAATGGTCAGGTGACAGTGACCATTTTCCAGTTCTCCTGGCAATATAGCCATCTTGTTAAAGATTACAAAAAGAGGCTATGAAATGACTCTTTAAGAGTCTTTAGTTAAGTAATTGGTCTGGTTATGGAAGCTTAAATTTGTTTGAGATTCTCAACTGCCCTGTAACCATCAAACTGTCTTAGCTTGAGTTGTCATCCCTGTAATGCTATTAGTCATCATTTCATGCTAAACTATCCTGCTGGGCATAGATTCTTCCATGTGGAGTAAGGACTGTAACCAGCCCACATCACTGCAGCCCTAAAATCCTCCGGCACTCAATGAAGTCTATAGGCTACTTGATCTATGGAGATCCCAAGGTCCTCTTGTTGTACAATATGAGATCATATTATTGAGATGGAAAGATAGGAATTAACAACAGCTTGTTCAAGTAAGCTACAATACTCCTTTCCTCCTTGTTCTATATATTTCTTAAAATCTACTCATCATTTTATTATCTGTTATCTTTTTGCAACCAGTATCTGTTTCAAATTCATAAGGTCTTTATTTGCATATCTACTGCATTCATCAACTGAATACCTTCAGCATGAACTTGCTATAGAAAATAAACTTAGTTTGGACTATAATAAACATTTGCAAAGCACAATAAATGAATATTAGCATAGTGAGATTCTAGATTTCCAGATCTACATTCTCACAGACAGAATAACTTCGTTTTGTCAATTGTTCTGCTTGGGTCCATCTGATTGGATCAGCTATTTGCCAATTATATGTTGTAGATTCTTTGATTTGAAAGTTGTGTGGGTTTGTGTTACTGGTAGCCAAAGCAAAGGAATTCATACATTCCTTCAATTTATATGGCCACTCATGGCCACCCACTTGCCAACCAACATTGGGATTAAAACATCACAGTAAGGGGAAAAAAGCAATAAAACACATTATGCCAAACACACTAAAACACATACCACATAATTAAAACAAGCTCAATATAACATCCTATTCAATGCCTGGGAGAAGAAGCATTTCTTCAAGACATTCCTAAAAGCCAGCTGGGTTGGGGCCAACTCAATATGAGTTGGAAATTGTTCCACAGGGCAATGCAGCTACAGAGCAGGCATGCTTCCTGGGTCCCATAAGACGACACTGTTTAATTGATGGGATATGGAGCATGCCAACTCTGTCGGATCTTGTAGTTCTTTGGGCACTTGAGATATAAAATTCCAAGAGCATCTCTCCTCCCCCCTGACAGTAAAAATTTCAGTCAACTCTGTGATAAATATTTGATAATTCACAATTTGTTGTCCTTTTATGACATCAGAAACATAACTTGGAATGGGTGCTTTAAACGTACATGAGTTGGAGGACTAGAAAGCATTTTACTTAGTGGTTTTCAATAATGGCACTGCTGAATTTCAGAATCATTAGGAGTCAGGCATAATAATAATAATATCTTAAGAGCTCTTAGGTCCTTGGTGAGGACTTGAACTGTTAAATTTTTACCAGCCCCAGATTGTGAATTTTACACTGAAGATTAAATCAATATTAATAATAATAACAACAACAGCAGCTTCCATCCTGCAACAATATCTATAACACTGTCAAACATCCAGATTTGCCTATCCTGGGTCCTTGGTAAGAACTTGATAGGTAGATAAAAATGCCAAACTCAGTCTGAACATCTGGCTAAGTGATGATCAATAGTAGTAGTAGCAGTAGTAGTAGTAGTAGGTGCTTGGATGCAAACCCAAAACATCTGGAGCACCACTTGAACAGCATTGGCATTGACAAAATCATCATCAGTCAATTTCTAAAAGGCAGCTTTTGTTGGAACAGCTTACATCATGTGACAGTACCTTTAACACCATCAAACAACAACGTCTGCCTATCCTAGATATTTCACTGGTTAGGAACCTGCCATTTATAGCATGCCACATATTTTGTATCATTAGGCAAGAGGTCTGTACCTCATTTTTTTTCTAGGCTGACAACTCATTTGGTCTTTAGAAGGCCCACATGCTTGAAAAATCAAGCAGGACCAGGGAAAACTAATTTTGATTTCATCGTAAACTGAATAACAGTGGAATGAAATGAGTTAAAGCCTGATAGCCTCAGGTTGTATACTTCTCAATTTGATATTAACAGAGATAAAAGAGGACAAGACAGAGAACTTCCGTACTCAGTAAGCTTATGTCATACCAGGGGATGAGAATGGTAATTTCTAGCAAGTAAAATACAGGAAATTGTGGGGACAACAGTGAACATACCTTTCTACTGGAACAACCTCCTGGCCTGAAGAAAGAATTAGTCCATAGGGTACCCTGCTATTACAGCAAACTCAATTAATTGCAAGCATGTTAGAGCTGGCAGTGTTGAAATACTAGTAAAAAGAGCTGCTTTGACTCCTTCAGAAAACCATATTTTACCTTGTTTTATTTTAACGACACCAAACAGTCTTAGTCTGTTATGTAGCAATGGGGATGTTATGTAGCAATGGGGAAAAGAGGCAAGAGAAATGTATAAAAAAAGAGAAATAAGCTATGTCAAAGTCTGGCAAAAGAAAAGGAAAGGAAAGGAAAGAAGAAAAGAAGAAAAGAAGAAAAGAAAAGAAATCACTCTGGACTCTTGTATGAATGTATGTATATCTGTTTTGATTTATGTGGACACTCTTGAGTCCTGTAGATCTGTTATCTTAATTTGCTTTTCATACAGAACTAGTCATAAATTAGTGCTATTGAAATGAGCATCAAGGAGAAATTCTCCTACTTGCCTTTGTCTTTCATAATCTTTGCAGCAGAGGTTGTTTTACAGTTGAAAGCAATACAGTATTGCACAGTGCAGAGGGATGCATAAATTCTACTGTTTCAGTACATTGCATCGATTACTTTCACAGATTAGGGTGTGTAGCATCAAAAGTCTCCCTAAGGATTTAGGACATCAAAAAGCCAAGTTGTCCAGATTTATTTTTTCCGCAAGTATCCATTGTGCTATCATATCCTCAAAAAGTTATGATTATTCTGTGTTTGTTCCTGTCTGGCTATAAACATGTTGTGTCTTGTGTCTTTAGAATAAATTTTCAAAGTACATTGTTGACAGGCAGAAGATGAGCCTCCCCTTTATTTATTTAAAGAAATCCTTTTTTAAAAGGATTTTTTAAAAGTCATGTCATCAAGAAACAGAGAAAGACTTAATAAGTGATCTGAAGATTTGCAGACAGGCTCTGTAGATAACAAGCTAGTCTGTCACTATGAGCTCTTTTTTTGCATGGAGAATTGCAGTTTCCCAGCTTCTTAATTTTCCTGTATTAGAAAAGAAACAAGTTGAGGATTGACAATGGAAAGGTGATGGAGTTGCATCTCTCATGCAGGTAATGTCAAGATTTGCCAGATTCTTCTTTAGTGTGAGGATTTAAACTGGGGGCTATGAGTTTCTTAAAAAAAAAAAAAGCATTAACCCTATTTTAGGTCTTACCAGATAGTGCTCACATATTTCCTATCCCAAAATTAGAAATTCTCTGTTGAAATTCAGATGTCCTCCTTTGCTGAACAGCTCCTCCTTCCCTCATGGATATTTGGATATCAAGTTTATTTCTTATCAATTGAAGTTTAGCTTCCAAAATTGAACAAAGGACACTGAAAACTTGGGTAATGTTTGTTTGTTTATTTAAACTCAGCAATCCCACCTATATGAGCATTCAAGGCATCTAGAACAAAAAAATTAAAAATTAGTTGAAATTAGTTAAGACCAAGAGAATATTTCTTTTTCTTTTTTGTTGTTTCGGTTTAGGTTGCTTAATACCTCAATGAATGCAATGTCTTAGCCTGCTGATGTGTATAACAGTTTGGCTGCTGTGGCTACCAAGAGTTTTTAAAATGCTTTTCAAGTAAGTCTTTTATTTATTTATTTTCTCCACATCTGCCTTCTATTCTCTGAAGAAACCTCTCCTTCTTATGTTCTTATGTAAATATTTCTACTGGGCCATGAAATATACAGAGAGAAAAATCCTCAGTTGCCTAATACCTATATTGACAATGATCACACATCCTTTATTATAAAGGAGAGTCTTTTATTTCAGAAAGCTGTGCTTTAGATTTATTTATTCTTCAAAAACTCACTTTTGTCCATTATTTTGGTCATTTAACTTTTACTGTTATGGGTATCACTTAATGGACAGTCGTTCATATTCATGAGAAAAAATATAGAAATTGAATTGTTTTTTTTAAAAAAATACATATACTGTTTAATTTTAGATATTTTTATTAGAATGTGTTCTTGGTTGTGCTCTTGAATGGTTTTTTTTTTTTTAAAAAAAAAAATAAAATTATAAACACATTTTTATGCTTTTTATGAACCTCTTCAGATCTGCTCCCTCTTCAGGCATTTTTCCAAGAAAATATGGTCATCGTACCTGTATTACCTCCAACCAAAATGCTAGGAAAAATGAGGACTATTTTCCAGAACCCCAGAACTCATCATCAGGCGGGTCCAAACAGCAAAAGCTCCGGCACCTTGGAAAGGAGAGCATGGAAACCTTCCCCAATCAAACCTTTTTTCACCTGGCCGGATGGGATAGGAGGAGAAAATGCTCCTCACCATCCGAGACCACGAACCCACCTCAGCCTGCGCACTGCATCCCTCCGCGCCTCGGGAGGCTTTAGGACCGCGAAGAAAGCGGCGACACGGCTTGGAAACAGCCGGACGCGACCATATTCTCCAGTAGGGTGAGTCGAATGGTATTCCAAAGCGACCTTTCTCGGAGGTGATGCGGCCCCTTCCGCAGGTTACACAGGCTTCCTCAGTGGTCTCCCCCCCCTCAATCTAAGCCGAGTGGTAGACCCCAGTCTAGGACTAGCTCCCAGCCAAATGAAGCAGCGCTCGCGAGCTGCTGTCCAAGGCATCCTCCAGAGCAGCAGCGGAAGGAGGAGGGAGCTCTCGCCGCCCGCCGCCAGCATCGCGCCAGCCCCGGTTCCCCGAAGAAGCCGGCCGGTTTGCCCAGGCTGCCGCTTTGCCCCTTGCTCCGGCTCCTCCGTCACGCAACTCTTGGGCAAGAGCCTGCGGGGTGAGGGTCTCCCTCCTCCCCGCCACCTACCTCCAGTATTCTCGCCGGGACAAAGCCATGAAGCCGGCGCTGCTGGAAGTAATGAGGATCAATCGGCTTTGCCGGATGGTTTTGGTCACTTGCTTGGGATCCTTCGCCCTCGTCATCTTCTATTTCCAAAGTATGTTGCATCCAGGTAAGGACGGCTGCTCGGTCCTCTCGGCTTCTCCGGGGACCCTTGAGTTGGACCCGAAGGTGGAGGCGACTAGGAGGGGAGGGGGGTGCCGCCGGGGTCGTCCCCATCCTCCTAAACCGCGCTGGGGAGTTAAGCTGGAGCTGGGTGGACGGGTGGGAGGAGAAGGAACTTAAGTGGGTTGGCTAGGATGCGAGGGCTGCCAGCCCCGGCGTCCTCGGCCCACGCAGGTGGAGGGCATCGGAGAGGGCTGCGTGAAAGGGAGGCAGCGAGGTAACGGGAGGGAGAGGGAGGGAGGGAGGGAGAGAGAGAGAGAGAGAGAGAAAGAGAGAGGGAGATAGAGGGAGGGAGGGAGGGAGAGGGAGGGAGAGAGAGAGGCAGAGGGAAGGAGGGAGAAAGAGGAGAGGGAGAGGGAGAGAGAGGGAGGAGGGAGAGCGAGAGGGATAGGGAGGAAGGGAGAGGGAGAGAGGGAGAGGGAGGAGAGAGAGAGGGAGAGGAAGAAGAAAGAGAGGGGGGGAGAGAGAGGGGAGGGAGAAAGGGAGAAAGAGGAGGGAGAGGGAGAGAGGGAGGGTGGGAGAGAGAGAGGGAGGGGGGAGGAAGGGAGAAAGAGAGAGGGAGAGGGAGGGAGAGGAAGAGAGAGGGAGGGAGAGGAGGGAGAGAGGGAGGAGAGAGGGAGAAGGGAAGAGGGAGGGAGAGGGAGAGAGGGAGGAGGGAGAGAGGGAGAAGGGAGAGAGAGAGAGGGGAGGGGGGAGGGAGAGAGAGGGAGGAGGAGAGAGAGGGAGGGGAGGAGGGAGAGAGAGGAGGGAGGGAGAGAGAGAGAGAGGAGAGAGAGAGGGAGAGGGAGAGAGAGAGAGAGAGAGAGAGAGAGGGAGGGAGAGGGGAGGGAGGGAGGAGAGAGAGAGAGAGAGAGGGAGAGAGAGAGAGGGAGAAGGGAGAGAGGGAGAGAGAGAGGGAGAGAGAAAGAGGGAGAGGGAGAAAGAGAGGGAGGGGGAGGGAGAAAGGGAGAAAGAGGAGGGAGAGGGAGAGAGGGAGAGAGGGAAGGCGGGAGAGAGAGAGGGAGAGGGAGGAAGGGAGAGGGAGGAAGGGAGAAAGAGGGAGAGGGAGGGAGAGAGAGGGAGGGAGGAAGGAAGGGAGAGAGGGAGGGCGGGAGAGAGAGGAAGAGGGAGGGAGGGAGGAAGAGAGGGAGAGGGAGGGAGAGAGAGGGAGGGAGGGGGGAGGAAGGAAGGGAGAAAGAGGAGGGAGAGGGAGAGTGGGAGGGCGGGAGAGAGAGAGGGAGAGGGAGGAAGGGAGAAAGAGGGAGTGGGGGGGGAAAGCTGCGATCGGGACGGTCTTTCATAAGGATCCTCTCTCGTTGCGATCCAATCCCTGAGGGGAAGGAGGGCGGCGGGAGGGGTGGCTGCTTCTGCTGGTGCAGAAGAAGAAAAAGTCGATGCATCTCGGGATCCTCTCGGCGGCCGTGGCAGCGGTTCTTCGCCCTGCTGGCCATGTGCACGGAGACGGGGGGGGCATTCTCAGTTGAGGCGACAGCGACTGGGAGAGGATGGGGAAGGACGGACGCGGAGGCTCCTCTTAGGAAGCTGCTTTGGATTTCTTTCCTGGGGTTGCGGCTGACAACGGGGAGCGAACTCCCGGCAGGATCGCACCTTCTTGTTTGTTTGGGGTGGGTGGGTGGCTGGGAGCAAACCGTCTCCTCCAGTGAGAACTGAATCGCGAGCGGGACATTGGAATAATAAAGCCCGATCGCCATCGCAGTTGACAGTAACTTCCCAACTAGTCGGTGGGGTTGGGGGGGGGTACCTTAACGTGATTCTCATTCACCCAAAAGGACTTTACTAGTGTTGTTAGTGCTCTAGTACGGCTCTTCTGATTCTGTTTTCCTCGGATTTATAACTTAGCCCTAGTACAGTATTTCTCAACCTTGGTAGCTTGAAGATGGGTGGACTTCAACTCCCATAATCCCCCAGCCAGCAGCGCTGGCTGGGGGATACTGGGAGTTGAAGTCCACCCATCTTCAAGCTTCCAAGGTTGAGAAACACTGCCCTAGTAGTTACCAAGTTCTCGTGGCTCGAATTTAGGATGGAGTAAAAAAAAGGTCCGGAGAAAAGTTGGCGTCATGAAATCCAGCCTGTAATTCTTACATGGGATTCCCCTCAAAAAATACTAACAAATCGGGATTACATCATATATTCTTTAAGCAGTTAAAAAGTCCAGTGCATTTGCATGATCTAGTACAGGAGATCCTTAGGAAACCACCCTCAAATTGCCGAGCACATGTATCATCACATGGTGTGGTAATTATTGACACGGTGATAACAAAAACATGTGGAAGTCAGACTTGGATTTTTGGGAATTGCATGATTTTTTAAATAAAGAATTCACAGGAAACCACACTCAATTCTTAGATGACAGCTGTTTGCATGGAATCAGCAAAAAAAAAAAAAGAAAAAAAAATCAGGAACAAAATCAGGAACAAACAGTTTCTCATTCTGCTGTGATGCAAAATGTGGATCTAAATTATGGATTCATATAATTCCTACATGAGACCCACATGAAGCTATTGTCTTATCACGTATCGTATCCAGTTGTCCAGAGAGCATCTTAACTATTTGGGATTTGAGATGTGGTTTCCCAAAGATTCTTATAATTTTACCTGGGGACCATGCCATAACCATAGTTTTAAACATAAGAGATCCAATTATTTTTGGTACCAGCATGGGGCAAAATGTGGATTTCCTTAGATCTTACTGATTTATACAGCAGTCAGTCTGCCATCACAATCATATATGCTAAGATTTTTTTGTCACTACTGTGGTGGAAAAACATGGAATTGAGCCACTGAGCCTCACTGCAGTTCACAATTTCTGGTGACATTTACATAAAGTCATATAATTTTCTGCAGGGAATTAAGCCATAATTATTCTGATGAATTTTGACATTGACATGTCCCAAAGGTGCTTTTTTGAAAAGGCAACTGGGTTTTCTTTGTTTTTCCGTGAAGACACTTTGCTTCTCATCCAAGAAACTTCTTTAGTTCTCACTGAATGATGGAGAATGAAAGGATTTATATTCCTTGCCTCTGGTCATTAGCATCTTTCTGAGATTCACTGAGGCCACTTGGAGGTCTATCTGTGCCCTCAGGGTCACCACAATAGTGCAAATGGGTGTGGAACCTTATGTTGTGGCTCCATTACCTGAGCCTGTGTTATCGGCAGGAGAGGACTCCGAGAGTGAAGGAGAGGAGTTGGCAAGGCCTCCCTCTCCAGGACCCTCCTCTCTGGCAATGCCTTCGGTGTCTGCCGAAGGTCAAGAGATAGGCCCGGGGCCAAGCACGTCCACGCAGCCACAGGTGGACAGTAATGAGGAAGATGAGTCTTGGCTGGATCCTCGGCAGCGTTGCAGAGATAAGCACGTGCAACAGAAGAAGAGGCATGCCAGGGATTAGGCTGAGTCATTGGACCACACCCCACAGGGTATAAAAGAGGGTGTGGTGGCCGGTTCAGCTCTGTGACAAGCAAAAAACGGATATCGGACGACCTTCTTTGTATTTACTGGACTTTGTTGATTATTATGTATTGGCTTTGTTCCCGGACGAAGGGAGAAACTCCCCCCCTCGTGAGTAAAGAATACCTGGCAGCCAGCCACTGGGTTGCTGCCAATTCTGATACCAGATAAAACTGTTGTCGGCTGAGTTCTTTAGCTGTTGCCTGTCTGTGGGGGTGCGTGTGTGAGACGGGGACAGAACACCTTATTGGAACTGCTGAAGGGGCTGTCCCTTCATAAACCTTCAAGTGGCCTCAATGACAACTCTCAGAAAGTGCTAATGACCAAATGTCTGAAGGAATATAAATCCTTCTATTCTCCACCATTCAGTCAAAACCGATGAAGCTTTTTGGATGAGAAGTGAAACATCTTCAAGGAAAAACAAAGAAATTCCAGTTGTCTTTTGAAAAAACACCATTACCTGGATGACTGTGAATCTCCATACATATCTGATATTGTTTCAAAATGTGGCTCTGAAGCGTGGTTTCTTGTGCTTTCTATATGAGGTTTACTAGAAACATAGCCCACATCCTTCTGCACAGAATCATCCATTAGAATCATTGTTCTGATTATTTTTGGCATTGCCATGTTGCAACCACCTTTCCCCAAAGCCTTGAATATGGATGCTCTAATTTTTAACAAGATACCTGCCTGAAATACCATGAAACTATAAATCCCATTTCTTTCTCAACAGACAAAAAGAACAAAATCACAACTTTTAATTATTTTTATTCCAATGGGATGCAAAGCAGAATAGATTTCTTTTTGAATTTCAGCTGATCTGATTATTTTTGGATCCTATGGGAAGAAGATTCTGAGGTGCATATTCTTAAGAATTATTATAATTTTATATGAAAAGTTAAATTAGAGCTAACTCATGGATCTGAGACATAAATCCTTATGAATCATAGAAACCGTGCCTCTCCCAAATACTTTCAAAAGACGCAAATTCATACACTGTACTGGGAAGTCCAATGAATCATTTATTGTGCTACCACTCCACAACCAACCTACATTTCAGACATGTAACTTTACATAAGCCATTGATTTTTATGCACACCTTTGTCACAGATGAAATCAATAAACAATAGTTCACTCTCCAAAATATGGTAGTTTGTATGCATTCACATTTCAAAATCTAAACATGTTTGTCAGAGAAATTAAAAAAGAGCCACTGTCAAATCTAGGATCAGTGCATAAATAAAAAATAACGGATCCCATGTTCCATGGCACCACACTGGTTGATACACATGGATGCAGGGCATTGCATGACACTCTTTGGATATGTGCAGAGGATTATTTCAAAGTGACAATCAAAAAGAGGAACATAAAGGTAGATTTTGAAAAACCATTCATTTAATGATTTACTAGGCCAACATGGCAGATATGCTGAATATGAGGAAAGATACATGTGAATTCACATGATAGATTATCATAGATCCCTTTAGTACTATTTGAAACCA